GAGCTCTCGTGCAGAAAGTCCAAAACGGACCCATAGAAGTAGTAACTTATGACATGCTAAGAAATCCCTAATATGGACATAGGCATTCAGCTATGGCTGTAGCGAAGCTGAAAGCAGAAAAATTTTAACTAATGAATAAATAAATGCATGATTGTGACAACATATGGTCTATATGTATTTTTTAAGTCATATAATAAATAAAGATAACAAATAATGTATATGAATAATGCAGTGATTATTGACATATAAATTATTGGTTATTGTTCAGCAGTGTATTTGATTTCGTAGTTAATTAAAAAATTATATAAAATTATATACAAATTATATAAAAGTTCACAAGAGAAGTGAGATTAGATGTACAATTAGAATGTTTTGAAGGTATTCTAAATGGCTTTAATAGTCGAATTTGCACAACACGTAATTATACAGTATAAAATTGCAAGTGTAACTTGTTAAATTGTGTTATATGTTTGTGCTTTTGGAAATTATCTTTAATGGTCATAATTAGTCTTATTTATGTAGTTATTTATTTATTTGCTTGCGTGCAATTGAGGTTTAATACAAAGTATTGTGGATTCAGTAAATGTAGTTGTGGCAGAGAGTAATGGTTTATTTGGTAATTTTTGTATGAATCCATATTGGGATGTACTTTTATCCACATGGTGTAGGTATTTTTTGGTTGTTAAGTAATTACTTGTAATTACTAAATGTTCACTTGTCATAGGCATCTATAATAGTATACTGTACAAAATGAAATGCTATAGTTTGCTTACTTTAACATTGATCTACTATGTATTTGTATTTTTTTAGGTTGTGTCATCTTGGCGTGGTTTTTTCACTGCAACTCAATATTGGGAGTCTGACGTTATTGGTAACAGATACTGACTACATTAATGTTCAGATATAAGCAATAGATCTCTTGAATTGTCTGTTTTCATTGTAATGTGCTTAGTATTATGCTTTATTTGTATTTGAGGGATGTCACTATCTAAAACAAAGTTTTCCTTTTTCTTAGGGTTTTTTTCATAGCACAGTGATGCGTAGGTTGTGTATGTAAGTAATTATTCTTTTTTTATGATATTTGCATTGCATGAAGACAAGTAATGAATATTGAGTAAACAGATATTAATCGTATATTTAAGTTAGTTTAGAGTGAATTATGAGATGTTTCACCCTCAATTGGGTAAGTAATTGTCTTATGTATTAAATAACAACTTATGTTAATAGTGTATAGTTCTTTTTGATACTGTTAGTATTTTTTTATGTACTTTATCGTGTAAAAAGAACAAAATACGTAATTCTTTTATATATTAATTTTGTCAGTATCCAGTTAAATGTTCAGTTTTGAAATTTATGTTAGTCAATGTGTATTGAACATTGTAATTAACATGATTTTTTTTCTGTGTGTGTTTGTCCCAACCTGTCCTGTCCTTTCCTGTCCATACCTTGATATTTTCATTCAAACCTTTATCTTGCTTACTAATTTAAACTCATGACTATGTTTCTTTCCATTCTTTCTTTCTCTTCCAACTGACAACTGGCCACGCTCATGCTACTGCATTGCTTTGCTACTAACCTTTTATGCACCTAAGCTACGCTTGCCAACGCATCTTTGAAAAGCAGTCAGAAAAGCTACCCAAATACTGATATTTGATCACCTCTGAATCAAAAACACTTGATATTGCAAAGAGAAATCTTTGACTCTGAATCATAATCTGAAAACACAGGTAAGAAAACTGAGTTACAATTTCACAAACAGTGAAAAAGAGATGTAAATGTACTTTCATCTACACTGTTTCCATTGTCTTCAAGGACCACTGATTTGACGACTTCATCAACTTGTTGGCATAAACAATAAGACATATTACCTTTGAGTATCAGATAATTTATCAGTATATATTAAGTAACGTATAATTAAATACATTATTTATATATTTACCACGTTTATTTCCCAGTAGTGAAACAACACCATGCCAAGAAAAGGAAAGAGGAGTGAATCTCAGAAACAGCGCAGAAAGCTTTAAGTTGCATCGGGTGCCAGTAGCAGTACCAACTCTGTGTCAGGTATGAATGATGCACAACCGTATGTTGTGTCTGTTAGAGCATCGCATTGTCAAATTGATCCTAGGTACAACATTTACTCCAGAGGCCGCCAGTGTACTTGCAATTGTTTAATGTTCCTAGCAGTCCATCATGAACGTAATGTACAACTAAGCAGTAGTGATTTAGATAACATTTTACAGAAAGGTGATGCAGTCTACACTAGAGTTAAACAAACACTGCAGAGCAAAGGACAATTTGTAGATAACTTTTTAAACTTTGATGAGCTACCGAGTACAGTTGAGACCAACTCAGAGCTGTATAACATAGTGAAACATCCTAGGAGGTTTGGATTTCTAAGAGATACACCTGCACTAGGTGATTATGAAAATCTTGCAAACACACTGCAATGTCTCAGACGTGATGTGAGTGATGCTTTGCTGTTATGTGGACATACATGTATTGCGGTGTTTAGAGATCGGTCAGGGAGGTTTGGTTATTTTGATTCACATTGCAGAACAATTGAAGGCATGTACACTGATGAAAACACAGGTACGGCTTTAATGCTGACATTTTTCTCTTTAGAAGATTTGATAGAGAGATTGCTATTATTGTTGCAAGTGTGTTTAGACTTAGGAGACCAAGAACAGTTTGATCTGCTGCCTGTATCATTTGTAAATACATTAATGGAAAGTTATGTACATACTCAACATTGTGTACGAACCCTGAGCTTGAAAAGAATAGACAGCCATCTGTCTCTCCTGAGAACGCAGGTCTATACAACAATCAACAGTCGGCTGATATTTCACAACAGCATGTTCGACTCCAAGATTCAGTTCAACAGCTACCTGAGAAAATGTTCACCCGAGTTACATCAACTAAGACAAACTTAAATGAGCAGTCAAAGAAACTGAACAAGAGTCGAAAGAGAAAGGCTTATAATATAAAATGGCGCAAAGACCTAGCTCACAAGAAACATGCATATGAGAAAAAACAGACTTTACATAAAGTCTATGACTATAAAAAAAGTAACGAATACAGGCAAAGACATAAACAAGCTATGAAGAAGACCTATTGGAATAATATGATTTACAGGGAAAAACACAAACAAGCAATGAAACACAAGTATAAAAACATTGATGAATGCAGAGAGGGAAAAAAGACAAAGATTACCAGCAATTACAGGAATACTGCCAAATTTAGAAAGAGACAAAAAAACTATATGATTCAAAATTATAGGAATAACAAACAATTCAGAGAGAGGCAAAAGAGCTACTACATAAATGAACATTACAGGGATAATGAGCAATTCAGAGAGAGGCAAAAGAGCTACATAAATGAACATTACAGGGATGATGAGCAATTCAGAGAGAGGCAAAAGAAGTATCTAAATCAAAAGTACAGGACCAACGCTAAATTTAATGAACAGCACAGGAGACATATTGTTGAAAGATATTTAAAAGATCCCATTTTTAAGCAAAGGAAAAAAGACCATTATACAAATCGATGCAGAAATGATTCTGAGTTCTATAAGAATAGGAAGTTAAATTTGAATCACCGTTATCACTATGATATACAGTTTAGGACCCGCCAAAAAATTTATTACTTATTTAAAGTACAAAAGAAAAGATCTGCTCTTAACGTAATTAGCAAGATTCAATGTGCACAACACATTCCGGGGAAATACAGAAAAATGTATCTTATGCGCCAGCAGAGAAACATACAACAAAATAGCCAGTCTGACACAATACAAGATCCAGGAGTTTTAAGAGCTTTAAATACTTTTAGAGATGTCGTTAAACAGGGACCAACGTATGTCTGCACATGCTGTGCCAGAGCGCTCTTCTCAAACCAAGTACATCTTTGTGATCGTGGTCGATATAAAAAAATCCAACAGTTTCTTCAGTTTGCTTAAGTGGAAACTATGTTCACATCTGATCCGACTGCCCTGATCAATGTGCCTTGGAGAACAGGAAAACAGAATGGATCTGTCACTGTTGCCATACAACCTTGATGAGAGGTTTCATGCCAGATATTGCAGTAGCTAATATGCTTCAGTTCACTCCCATTCCTGCTGAACTCAGTGATTTGAATATTCTTGAGAGACACGTTATTGCAAATTACATTCCCTTTGCTAAAATTATAACGCTTCCTAGAGGTCAACAGAGAGCTATAAAAGGAGCCGTAATATCAGTTGCATCTGAAGTGGAAACAACAGTAAATTGTTTACCCAGACCCAGAACTGAAGCTCAGCTGCTAACAGTGAAACTGGAAAGACGTCTGTGGTACAAAGGTAACTATCAGTTTCAGACTGTGAATGTGCATAAAGTTTTGTCTGCTTTAAGAAAACTAAAAGAAATTAATTCAGAGTATAAATATATTATTATAAATGGTACAGTCTCAGAAGAAGAAGTGTTTAATCAGCATGAACAATGTACAAATGAATTCAGTGATCCTAATGACAAAATGGATATTGAAAGCAGCAACCGAACTGACAACACTGAAGGATCGAGCAATGAAAATGAACACACTGAAGAACAGCCCCCTGGTCTTGCATTGGATACATGTCTTCAGCCCCCAGATCTTGGCCAGCACTTGTTGTCCTATGAAGATGGAATATTTTGTATTGCCCCAGCAGAGAGAAATACACCTATAAATATGTTTAAGATTCCTAAATTATAATCTTTGGCTTTCCCAGTGCAGTTTCCAGAATGTATGAACAGCATTGATGAGCCTGCCAGAGCAAAACGTGTCTCCCCTAGCAGATACTTTAACACAAGATTGTTCTCTGTTCGCGATACAAACTATATCTTCTTTGCTCAGTTTGTCACTGAAATGCACATGGCCACATCTAGTTTGTCTGTTCAGCTGAGGAAAGCAAAGCCCATGACCCGTGATGGACGCAGAATAAACTGTTCACTGCTGCAAGACAAACAGGAGTTAGAAAAGCTTGTGAATTCATGCAACCATTAAGAGGGACTCCAGCATACTGGGAGAAAACTCTGCGTGACTTGTTTGCTATGTTGAGACAACTGGGCACTCCTACATTTTTCTGTACGTTTCGTGCTGCTGAAATGAGATGGCCTGAAATCATAACTGCTATTAAAGCACAACAAGGTGAAAGTGTGAACTTCTCTGAATTAGACTGGTCTGAAAAATGTGAAATCCTGAGAAGTAATCCAGTCAAAGTAATGCGAATGTTTGAGAAACGAGTTGAAGCCTTAATGAGAGATCTAATCATGTCACCTGCTCAACCTATTGGTGAGGTTATTGACTTTTTTTATAGAATGGAATTTCAACAACGTGGCTCTCCGCACATTCATTGCTTATTTTGGGTGAAAGAAGCTCCAGAATTTGAAAAAGATCAAGATCAGGATGTGTGTGATTTCATTGACAGATACATCTCATGTAAATTACCAGACCCAAACAAAGACCCCGAACTGCACAGAATTGTAAGCGAAGTACAGGTGCACAGTCGTAACCACTCAAAGTCCTGTAGAAAAAACAAGAAACACTGCAGATTTGGATTTCCTAAACCACCCATTAACAGAACCACGATAACCCGCCCCAGACCTCCTCCTGTAGATGAATCACAAGACCAAGATTAATCAATAGAAGACAGAGATCATGGTACCGTTAAAAAAGCTAAAGCACAACTTCAAAAAGTGTGGGATCTATTGAATGACTCCACTCAATATTTTGAAAGCACTGAACAACTGCTTCATAAAGTCAACATGACTTATGAAGAGTATGATAATTATACTGAGGTTCTGTCTACATCAAATGTAACAGTTATGGAGAGACAACCACAGGACTGCTGGGTTAACGGCTATAATCCTTTGCTGTTAAGAGCTTGGAATGCAAATATGGACATACAATTTATTCTGAATCCTTACAGCTGTATCATATACATTCTTTCATACATTTCAAAAGCTGAACATGAGATGAGCAATTACCTAAACAGAGTGATAAAAGACACAAGCCATGATAACCTGTCTGATCGTGAGTGCATGAAGCAGGTCATGAATGCCTATTCAGAGAACAGAGAAGTCAGCGCTCAAGAGGCTGTCGCTCGCACATGCAGTCTGAAATTGAAATCGTCATCATGCATTGTTATATTCATACCCACTGATGACAATGCTGTAAAGATGAGTTTACCAATGAAGTACTTGCAGACCATGGATGATGACGTAGAGAATGTGTGGATGACAGGATTACCAGACAAGTACAAGGCCAGACCAAACAGACCTGAATTTGAGAACATGTGTATGGCTGAATTTGCAAGTGAATACCGCATTGTTTATGGAGGATAGACAAAAGGTAAAGATGTTTTGCCACTTCAAAACAATATGGGACACATACAAAAAAGAACAAGGGGGAAACCTGCTGTTATTAGATTTGCTCATTTTTCACAGCAGAAAAACCCAGAAAAGTTCTATGGAACACTTCTAAAACTTTATCTACCATATCGCAGAGATGACCAGCTTAAGACCCCAAGACTTCCGACATATGCATCATTTTATGCATTTGCTTCAGTAAAATTACCAGGCACTGATGAACTGCAACGTGTGTTCAACATTGTAAACGAAAACCGTGAAAAATACGAAAGACATAATGAGACCATAGTAAAGGCAATTGAAGATTTTGAACAGAATGGTCCAATTGAAGATGCATGGCGTACATTGGCACCAGCGAATGAACTAATCCGATTGGAGAGCATTATGGAACGTGAGCCTATTGATCCTAATGAAGTAAACGAGCAGGATGAAATTCCTGAATACACATCATCAACCTCTCTCAGTAACACAGCTATGCCACTCATGGAAGTTGCCCAGCTGAATCCTGCACTGATTCGCAAAATGTATCAGAGCTTAAATCAAACACAGGCGTCTATATTTTATGCTGTGCGTGATTGGTGCAAAAGATGTGTTTCTGGTGAAAAACCACAACAGTTTATGTATTTTTTAAATGGAGGTGCCGGAGTTGGTAAGTCACACGTGATAAAATGCATTTTTACAGAAGCAACCAAAATCCTGCGTAGGCTTCCATGCACACGAGACCATACAGATATTTCCAAGCCAACCATTCTCTTAACTGCGTTCACAGGTACTGCTGCCTTTAATATCTCAGGTAAAACACTTCACTGTCTTCTGAAACTACCAAGAAGCTTGAAGCCTCCATACCAAGGCCTGGGAAACATTTTGGATGAAATCAGGGCAGACCTCTCTAATGCACACATCTTAATTATTGATGAAATATCTATGGTGTCAAAACAGTTGTTTGCCTATGTGAACTGGAGACTGCAACAGATTAAAGGAAACCAGAAGCCTTTTGGTGGATTGTCCATACTAGTTGTTGGAGATTTCTTTCAACTGCCGCCGCTAGGAAGAGCTAAACCACTCTGTGTGTATGAGGACCATGTGCTGGACTTCTGGAAGGATCAGTTTCAAATGATAACACTGACGCAGATCATGAGACAGAGAGATAATCTTGCATATGCTGAGTTGCTGAACAGGCTAAGAGTGAAACAGAAGCAGGACAAACTGAATGATGCAGACAAGTGCATGTTAGAAACAGTCACAAGATCATCCTCTGAAGAATGTCCTATTGATGCATTACACGTCAATGCAACCAATAAAAGAGGTTGAAAACCACAACATTGAAGCCATATCTTTGCGCTTTTCAAATATTATTAATATTGATGCAGATGACTACAAAAAAGACCCACGAACAGGTGAGATGAAAAGGCAAGCTGCCCCATGTAAAGGAGACAAATGTGACCTTCTCGACACACTACATATTGCTATTGGTGCACGAGTGATGCCAACCAGAAATACTGATGTAGAAGATGGCCTAGTTAATGGTACTTTTGGCAACGTGGCAAAAATAACAACTCGAAACCGAGACACTGTTTCATATGTGCAATTAATTGGTCTGCATTTGGATAATGTAAATGCTGGACAGAAATATCGCAAAAAAGCACCTGATGGAGATGACAGCATTGTCTATATTGAAAGGTCAGAAGAACCAATCAAAATAAAGGGTACAGTTCGAAGACAATTCCCCATGAAGCTTGCTTTTGCATGTACTGTTCATAAAGTGCAAGGCATGACTACTGATTCTGCTGTTGTATGTCTGAAACGCATATTCGAACCAGGCATGGCATACGTTGCACTCAGCAGAACAACATCACTCAGCGAATTGCACATTACTGACTTTGATGAAAAGAAAATTTTCTGTGATCCTGAAATAAGTTCGTCCTTGGAGAACATGCCAAAATCTGACATTCGTAATGTTCAGACCATCCTACACATACTGCAAGAGTCAAGTCTTAATTCATCTCTCAAAATCATTCATCATAACACAGAAGGACTGCAGTGCCATATGGATGATTTAAAATGCCACCATGAGCTACTATTGGCTGATGTTTTGTGTTTCACTGAAACACATTTGTCTGGCTCAGCTGTTCCTGAGTATCTCCAGCTGGATGGTTACACTATGTACAAACGAAACAGAAGTGTATTTTACACAAAGTATTCGGATTTGGCTAACAGAAAAGGTGGTGGTGTGGCAATGTATGTGAAAAACAACTTCAAAGTTCGTCCTCTGATGTATATACAGAATGTTACAGACTTGGAATGCTTGGTTTTAAAGGTAGAAGCTCCTAGACAAGCTCTTATTGCAGTAATCTACAGACCACCAAATTACAACCTAACAGAGTTTTTGATCAATCTGAATGCGCTTTTGACATCTCTGGAGGTCTTTGATTTCAAGCCTGTTATAGTATGCGGAGACTTCAACGAAGATCAGTTGTCCGGTGGCAACAAACCTATTCTACATTTATTTCAAGAAGATTATACCCAACTTATTAACTCTGGGACAACAGAAAACAATACTCTTCTGGATCCTGTGTTCACAAGTGGCGCACACTCGCATGTCAGGGCAGGTGTACTACAGACATATTACAGCTATCATGATCCTGTGTATTGTATTTTAGAATAGATGCAATGATTTTCTGGAAAAAAAAAAAAATAATAATAATAATTTTAACACTTCTGTAAGATAAGTATATTATTTTAAGTAACAATGTTACAGTCCATAAATACAAGTCATATCAATAAACTGTTTACTTATGTGTCTGTTTCTTGTGTGCATGTGTGTGCGTATGTGTTAAACAGAGAATGTGTGTGTGAATGTGTTAGATAAGGAATTAATGGAGAGTGAGTGTCCTTTCCAAGGATTGCCACCTTGACGTGGTGGAAAGGCTTGCGTGTTCCAGTGATCCCAAGAGGTTCCAGACTAAGTGCGATCCAAATGGTCATTAATTCAACTAAATAAAATGTTTTTAACATAATTACTTGTTTGGTTTTTTTTTGTCTTTCTTAAGTCATTCAGTCACCATGATTGCTCATTTACAAAGCTTTTAGGTGTAGTTTATGTATGCAGAGTTCTAAACTACACGATTAATTACCTGCTGTTTAATTTCTGACATGATTAGTCAGTTTTTTTTTGCCTTTCTTAAAGTATGGACAGTAATAGCGTTAATCTTTAAACAAATGTGCATTTTACACATAGTACATATCCTGAAACCAAGGAGTACAAAAGTTTTTTTTTTTTTTTTTGTTTGACATCATTACATTGCATAGAGTATAAAAAATAAAGTAACAAAAAAACATCGCCAGACAAACAGAGTTGGCTAGCTGGATGCTAAATAAGTCATAACATTTATTGTTTTCCCTGTTTGTTATTTGTTAATTGTTTGTTATATTCACTAAAGTCAAATATATTGTCAATACCATTCAAATAAAATAAAAAATGAATGGTCTATCAGTATTTAGGAGATTACAGTTTTTGCAGACTTATTATATTGGGCTTTATTAAAGTTTATTAAAATATTATGAATTTCTATGCATTTTTAATGTAAGTTTAATGAAACATTTTCAGTCTTTGAACAGATCTTGAAGAATTTGCTATCCTGTGGCTCCCTCGTGTGGACAACATTAGCATTATGGCCTTCATCTCTGAACAACATTAAGATGAAATGGCCAATATTATTTGAATGAATACAAATGTTTAATGATTAATTTACTGATAATATACCCACATTAAACTCGAATTTACTGATTCTGTATCTTATTTCATGCACTAAGAGTTTAATTTTCGACATGCATTTTTAAGCAGTGATGATTGATTATGTGACTTGTGAAATGTTTTTTTTTTTAACAATTATAATATATAAACAATATAATGATGAAAAAAGAAAAGCTATTGTTTTCATAATATTTTGTATAGACACTTGTTATTTTGTATTGTAATGAAGGATTTTATGACAACAAAAATTGTCATTACTACAAATTAAACACAAATTTAATTCATATTGTTTTTCAATAGGTCAAGCACCTTTTCATAAATATGGCTGTTTCCAAAGTTTTTTATTTTTAGGATTTACATTTCAAAAAGTAAAAGACAAGTAGGCTACTTCAAGCTTTTTAAGCAGCTTGTACAAACCCTGGTAATTTTTGTTATAGACCGCTGTAATTGTCTATTCTAACAAACAACTTTATTATGAAAAAAAAAAATTTAGATATCAATTAAATTGCGCGATAAA